ATATACATTGAAAATTTTGTATTTCCCTCTAAACATTGCTTTAGTGGCATTTCATACTTTGATATCTCATATTTTCATTTTCATTCAAAATATTTTCTAATTTTCATTTCAATATCTTCTTTGATCCTTCTTTGATAGGATCAAAGACTTGATCCTATCAATAGCTTCTTTGATAGTTATTTATAAGGATGTTATATTAATTTCAAAACATTTGCACATTTTCTAACTATATCTTTTCATTATTTTCTAGGAGATATTTATACATTCTGGATACTAGTTCTGTGTTGGTTATATGTGTGACAAAAATCTCCCTCTCTATGGAATGTCTTCTCACTCTTTTTTGGGGGTTTTTTGATAAAGTTTTTAATATAGTCAAATGTATCAAACTTTTATTTTCTAGTTAGAGCTTCCAGTATGTTCTTTAAGAAATTCTTCAACATCCACAGTTACAAAAATATGCTATATTATTATCCAAGAGATTCATAGTTTTGCCTATTACATACAGTTCTTTAAGCTATCTGGAATTGATTTTGTGTATGATATGAAGTAGAGGTCCAATTTAATTTTTTCCCCAATATATGTAACTTTTTCCAGATTGGGTAATTGTCACAAGCTCATTTACTCAATAGTCTGCTCTTCAGTTACTAATTCCAAGTGTACTCACTGTCATACATCAAATGTGGATGCACTGGTATGTTTCTGGGCTTTTCATTCTGTTTGCTCAGTCTAGTTGTCTATCAGTACACCAATACCACACTCTTGTACTTATAATATTTGCCCATATCTGATATTGCAAGTCCTTCCACTTTATTCTTCTTCAAGAATCAGCTCATCAAGCAGCTCGTGTCCGGAGGCGAGATGAGAAGGCAGACTAACTTGAACTGTAAACTTTCACTTAAAGCACAATTAAAAAAAAAAAGAACCAGTTCATCGAGTTCCATTTTTAAAATATCCTGTTGGAATTTTTATTGAAATTGCACTGAACCTCTTGAGACAACATATTCATAACGTTTAATTTTCAAATCATGAACATGTTATATCTCTCCACTTATTTAGATCTTTCAATAAGGTTTTATAATTTTATCCACAGAGGTCTTGCACATCTCTTCTTAGCTTTATTACTAGGAAATTCATATTTCTTATTCTGTTGTAAACAGTACCTTTTTCCTTATTTTCTTTCAATTGTGTTTCTAATATGTAGAAATGCAACTGATTATTATATATTACTTTTATATTTGGCAACCTTTATTAACTTATGAATTGAGGCTAAATTTTATGAAATGCTTTTCCTGTATTTATTGGAAAGGCCATATAAATTTTAATGCTAATTGATTAGCTACTGTTAAATCAACCTTGCATCCCAAGATAAACCCAATTTGGTCATGATGCATGATTATGACTATTATGGACTGCTATTACTGAGTGCAAGGAGAGCTGGTGGAACAATAATTAAGCACTCAGCTGCTAACCAAAAGGTTGGCAGTTCAAACTTACCCAGCAGCTCTGCGGGAGAAAGACCTGGCAATCTGCTCCCATAAAGATTACACCCTAGAAAAAACCTATCGGACAGTTCTACTCTGCACGTGGGGTTGCAGTGAGTCAAAAATTGACTCAACGGCACCTAACAACATTATCATTGAGTGCGCTAATATTTTGTTTAGGATTTTTCCATCTGTGCTCGTAAGTGACATTGGCTTTAATTTTCTGTATCTATACTGCTCTTGTCAGGTGGTAGTATCAAAGTTATGCTAAATTCAAACATAAGAGGGGAACATTTCTTCCCTTCCTGTTCTCTGAAAATCTTGGGGGTAAAATTTGAATTATATTCCTTAAATATGGAATATTTCTTACTGAAGCCATCTACACTTGGAATTTCATTTATGGAAATATTTTTAATGTCTGCTTCTTTAATGCTTTTTAAGACTATTCTGGTTTCTTTACTCTTTAGTCAGTTTTGGTAAAATGTATTTTTACCAAATTTGCCCATTTCACATAAATTTTCAAATTTGTCTTCATTAAATTGTTAACGATAAACTCAACTTTTTAAAATGTATGCAGCAGGCAAAATCTTCTATCCTGATATTTGTTGCCATTCTTTTTTCTTGATCAATTTTACTGAGATTTGTCAGTATTATTAGTCTTTTCAAAGAATTGATTTGGGACTTCTATACCTTTATTGTAACTTAATTTCTATTTAATTAATTTGTTTTTAATCTTAATCATTTCTTTCCTTTTACTTTCTTTACATTTGTTTTGCTCTTCTTTTTCTAACTTCAAACTTTTTTGACACTACATGAATCTTAGAACACTTCATCTACCACCGTACCAACTTTGTTACCATTGTTATGTTTTTTAATTTTTTGAATAATTACTGCTGTTCTGTAAAGTTAGGATTTACTTATATTTATCTACATATTTACAATTTTCTTTCACCTTCATTCTTGCTTCTCAGACCTTCAATATGGGGTCACTGTCATTCTGCCTGAAGTGTATCCGTTAGAAACATCTTTATTGATGATCTGCTGGCGGCAAACTCTGCCTGAAAAATGTCTTTGGTCTCCTTCTTGAAAGATATTTTCATTGCATAGAACATGCTAAGTTGACAGTGATTTTCATCCAGTCCAATTAACACTACACATCCTGGCTTCCACTGATGCTTATGAGAAGATGTCTTAACTGCTCCTTTCTATGCCTACTTTTGTAAACTCTTCATCTTTTTTGACAATTTAACTCTGATGCATCCAGTTGAGTATTTCTTAATATTTATCATGCTTGGGATCTTTTTGACTTCTTGAATCTGTGAATGGATATCTTTCACCAATTCTAGAAAATTCTTAGCCATTACCTCTTCAAATATTGTCTCTCCCAAATATTGTCTCCTCTTTTAATGGTCTGATTAAACCTATTAATATGACTTCCTCAATTTATCCACCATGTCTTCTTTTATAATAGCTTTATGGAGCTATAGTTCACAGACGATAAAATTCACCCTTTTAAAGTATACAATTCAGTGGTTTTTTAGTATATTCACAGAGTTGTGCACTATCACTGCTAATTCCAGAACATTTAATCACCCCCAAATTAAATGCCTTACTCATTACCACTCACTCCCTCTCTTCCTCTCCCCAAGTCACTGGCAACCGCTAATCTACTTTCTCTCTCTGGATTTGTCTATTTTGGATATTTCATATAAATGGAATTATGCAATGAGCTCTTCTGTGTCTGGCTCCTTTCACTTAGTATAATGTTTTCAAGGTTTATCTACATTGTAGCATGTATCCATATCTCATTCCTTTTTATGGTCAAATAATATTCCACCGTACAGACGAAGCGTATGTTGTTTATCCAATCATCAGTTGATGGACATTATGTTGTCTCCACTTTTTTGGCTGTTAGGAATAATGCTGCTATCTTTTATATCTCTTAATCTCTCTCATAATTTGTCTCTTTGAAGTCTTCAATTGTAGTTTATCTGCAGTTAATTCACTCCACTGAGTATTTTTGTTGTTATTTTATCTCATTTCTAGATATGTTTGTTCAAATCTGGTAGGTCACCTTTAATAGTTCTGCCCCTGAAGTTCTTTTCAAGATAGTCTTTTACTTCTTTAAATATAGCACACAGTTATTTTACAATCTGTCTGATAATTCCAGTATCTGAAATAGCATGTTTATTTTTGCCATGTGTTGGTTCTACTGGTTGTTACTCATAATGCCACATTCCCTGATGTGCTGTTATTTTTTACTGTGAATTGTTCATTTCCCTCAACAACATTTGTGGAAATTCTTTGAGGCCTAGGATGTAAGGGGCTCCAGAATGATTTGCATTTGCTTTGCCATGTGGCTGGGAAAAATAATAGTCAGGAGCTCTTTAAATCACAAGCTTCAGTTATTAAAGATAGTCTAGGAGATGTGAATATGGCTGGAAATCCACAAAGGGCCCAGTTATGGCAAAACTTCTCAGGGATCGTATTTTGTTGTCGTTGCTATTTCTCTTGTTCTACTGAGCAAAAGGCAATTTTCCATGCAGTCCTCTAGGGTAAGGTGGTTCATCCTACATAACGGATGTAGCTCTTAATCATCCTAGCTTCATAAGGAGAAGGTTTCGCAGTAGACTCCACACCTTGAGCAGATCCTGGGATGTATCTTTTGTTCCCCATACCACAGCAAAAACTGGAGCTCATGGGCACTAGTTTTGATAAATGTCCTCAGGGCCAAAGCAGCTTTAGTGTTCTGCTCATCTTTTGTTTTCTACTAGATTTTGCCCTGATAATTTCTTATTATCTTGTCAGCTTTCTGATGCTCTTGAAAAAAACATTTTTTATAACATTTTATGTCACATTTTTTTCCCCAATTGGAGGGTCTGTTGCAGCATCTAGTCAGCCGTATTACCAGAGATGGAGATGAAGCTTTGCATAACTTTCTAAGTTGATCTGGAATTCTCTATCAAAATAGTTTACCCATCATTTATCAATTAGAACACTGAGAAAACATGAGACTATTCAACAACAGTAAGCATTTTATCCTCTCCCAGGAAGTTACTTACCTTTGTACACATACTTCAATGTGCCTCCAATTATTTTAAGAGGTGTTATAAAGCTCTCAAAACAAAATTAATATTTTACTTCGAACATACTGTATATATATACATATATATATATATGCAGTAATATACAAAAAAAAACCTGTTGCCATCGAGTCGATTCCAACTCATAGCAACCCTATAAGACACAGAAGAACTGCCCCATAGGACTTCCAAGGAGTTGCTGGTGGATTCGAACCGCCAACCTTTTGGTTAGCAGCCAAGCTCTTAACCACTGTGCCACCAGGGCCCCATATGGTGATATAGTAATTTCAAATTGGTAAGAGAGGATGACACAGAAAAAAACGGCTTTAAAATGGAATTGAAATTTTAAAAAACTGAGAAACACTGGGTTATAGTTACACTGGGTAGCTGATACAATCAAGTAGCAACTTTTTGGGCTAACTACTAACATGCTTACTTTGCTTCAAGTTGGTGTATTCTCCTCATGTGATACACCAGTGCTGTGGGCTCTGCTGCCAAAACTTTAAGTCTTCCATGAAGATAAAAGGCGGTGCTTCGGTCTTTCTTTATTGTCTCAATAAAGGCATCATATTCTTTTTTGATTGAAGTGAGAATGGATTTGTATGCAGTGGCATACTCTATTACCTGAAATATGATTTTTCTGCCTATGGTACTCAATATTTTTCTAAAAGACTATGGATCAAAAGCCTTGCAAATAGCATTATAGATTACTTAAAAGGATGATTAGAATTAGAAATTTAAAAATTTGAACTTGCATTTGGCAACCTCAAATATGACTGAGCACCAAAGACAATATTTACTGAATACCTGCTCCTTGTGAATTACTACAGCACTTGTGAGCTTAAATATGAGACAAACAAAAAATAAGAACATATTTTTGCTCTTCTTGGTATGCACGTACACATCATATGATCTCAGTTAAAACCAATACCAGGTCTAATTCTCCCAATTCTGGATTTCTTAAATATAATTATGTATCTTCATTCACTCCCTCCAAATCTAGTATCTGACTTCATTCAGACCTTAAAATCCTGGATTCCCCCCACTTCCCTGTTTTTCGAACCATCAGCTTGTACTGGTTGATCAACAGCCTCAATTCCTAAATTGCACTTCTATTCTCAAGATGTCAAATTAACTGTGGAAAATCTCATCACTCTACACTCATGGATTCTGGTGGTGTTTAAGCACGGAGTATCGCTGGAAGGATAACAGAAGAAACTAGGAACAGTGAGCACCTGCAGAGAGGAAAAGGGAAACTCGGGTCCAAGGGGAGACAGACCTGACTTTCCATTGTACACTCTTCTTCACTGGCTGATTTTTTATTAATCTTGTGCATGCATTACCCATGCAAAAATAAGTAATTAAGAAATATTTTTAAATGTGCTTTTTTTAAACCAAAATGTTACAAATATAAACAAGTAATTTACGGTTTCCAAATTCCGCTCAGCTCAACAGCATTTCAGAAGGGATCAACGTTTGCAGGGAATAGGTGTGATTTAATCCATAATTTTTCCTGAAAGCTGTAATTATGCTTTTTACTCTTACTATCCTTAGCCTTCCTGGTATCCCTGACTGGTTTTCTGTTAGCTGAACAATACCTAGAAAAAGTTACCCAGGAAGACTTCTGGTCTGTCAAGAAATGGTATAAGATTACAGATCAGTGTCAAGTACTGGAAAAGGATATTGGAGTAGGAAATAATGGTTTTCTTTTTGATACATCCTTACTACCTATCTACCCAGACCAGGAGGACTACCAACCAGGAACCTTTACTAAAACAGACCATCAATCTGTGGTCTTCCAATCTAAACACCCTGCTGCTTCTGGACACCCTCCATTCTACACACCCCAGTCATGGACTCCAACATTCCAAGACAACTCAGACACATTAATGGATGGACAGCAGACTCCTAGTGACACTGTGACCAGCTTCCATGTCTGTCTGCTAAAAGAAACAGATTTCAGAAGAATTCTTTTATGGAAACCCTTAAGAATGCACGGAAAATGCATTAAAGTAGAACTGGCATGCCACAGGTAGAATACTGCTGGAGGACAGTTTTGATTGACTCACAAAATATTTTAAAATTTTGGGATTTCATCCCCAAAAATCGTATTTCCATCTTCTCTTGAAAACTCTAAAAAATCTATCAATATGGAGCCCTCATCCCTTAATGGCAAATATTTGCTGGAGCTTTAAACTGGGTTGGTTCTCCATTTTAGCACAGTCCCCACCATTCCTTATTCTCTGATAGCCAGTCCACTTCACTCTTTTATATCACCTTCTGGGCCTCTGCAGACATTCATGTTTGAGACCTCTGTATTAAGGCTTCCATTAAACCCAAGAAAATCACAGCTATACTTACCAGGTACAGAGGTCTGAGGGAGAATGGGGATGGTATCCATTCCACCTCAACTCTCGTGTATGGATCTGGACTATTTGTACAATACGCTACCAGGAATACAAGAAGTCAGCCACTTTCAACAGCAAGTTACCTCCATAATTTACCCATCTCCAGAGAAGTTCACTCTCTTCCTAGCTTTTCCTACCCACCCACAACTCTTGGTATATGAGTGTTCTCAGGCCCTCCTTGCTTTGATTCTGATATGTTTCTCCAAGTCTAACTCTCTCTCTCTTTTTTAAATCTAGCTGAGTCCCTGTTTTTCTGAGTATATAGCTAGGAGTAGAATTGCTGGGGATATGATAATTCTGTTAAACTTTTCGAGGAACCACAAACTAAACCCTCTTTGATTTTAAATGCAATTTGGCATTTGTCCTCTGGTCACAAGTATCCAGATATGCAAACTGATACTTTCACCTTCTGCCCAGCTAGATCCTCCTAAGAAGGAAGGAATATCAGACAAGGCAGTCATTAATAGATTATTAACACATGCTCCAATAACATGAAAATGGAAAGAGCAGATTATCTGTTATTGAGAAGCTAGAAGGAAAGTTTCTCTGAGTACCAAATGATTTCTACTTTGGATCCCTTCTCAGTCCTGAAGAATAGGGTTCTTTAATACATGCAAATCTTGCAGGTAGGGAGTGGGGAGAAAAGGAGCATGGACTATGTTGTTGTTGTTAGGTGTCACTGAGTGAATTTCAACTCATAGTGACTCTATGTAACAGAGCAGAAGTGCTCCATAGGGTGTTCTAGGCTGTAATGTTTATGGGGGAGCCCTGGTGGTGTAGTGGTTAAGAGCTTGGCTGCTAACCAAAAGGTCGGCAGTTCAAATCCACTAGCCGCTCCTTGGAAACCCTATGGGGCAGTTCTACTGTCTTCTATAGGGTCACTATGAGTCGGAATTGACTCAACAGCAACAGATTTCGTTTGTTTTTAATCTTTATGGGAGCAGATCGCCATGTCTTTTTCTCGTGGAGCTGCTGGGTGGCTTCAAACCACCAACGTTTCGGTGGCAGCAGAGTGCTTCACCATTGCACCACCAGGGCTCCTTTACATGTTCTATACATGTAAATATTATTTAATCCCATGTCTTTTCTCTAAGAATTAAATTTACCAACACCACCCCCAAAATGACTTCACCATCACTATAGTAACTTAAAGCAGACAACTCTTCACATAAGAACAATTCTGAGCATACACAGATAAGCATGTCACCGTTGTGACAGCCTTCCTTGGCTGATTTCACACAAGTAGAGTCTTGGTGTAATTGCTGGTAGTTAGGGGACCTATTCAAGATACCGCCTTTATTTAAATATGCATCGAAGACATTCGTTACTTGCTAAAACATCAAGAAGCGACAGCACTGATCACAACAATATATGAAACGAAGCTAACCTGTCAATGTACCAACTCTAAAAGATTTTCTGGATGACTTACAAGAAAAGACTCTGTTTCTCTATTTCATACTCTTGTGTATCAATTGCTGTGATTCCACTGGCAGTTAGGTACTGTTACTTTCTGCTCACTTTCCCTCAGAGTGAGACATTACTTTTTTATTTAGAGGAGAAATAAAACTCATCCCGTGTAATGATTAAAAATTAAACAAAAGACTCAGTTCCTATTTTGCCTGTGGCTGTTTTACTCAACACCAATGGTTTACTGAAGTCTTACGGTAAGTAACTATTTCCTCAAGGCAAGGAAAAAAGGATGGTGATATTACTTCTTTTCTGTCAGGGCATCTTCTGAGGCAGTTAAAAAAAGTGAGTAAAAAGTAGGACAGACCAGTAAACTGTAATTGTTTATAAGGACAAATATATATTTTTAAACTTTCAAAAAAAAAAAAAACCAAACCTACCGCCATTGAGTCGATTCTGACTCATAGCAACCACGTAGGGTTTCCAAAGCTATAGATCTCTATGGAAGCTGACTGCCACATCTTTCTTTTGCGAAGCCGCTGGTGGTTTCAAACCGCCAACCTTTCGGTTAGCAGTAGATCGCTTTAACCACTGTGCCACCACCGCCCCAAAATAAAATGTTGTAAGAAGCCACAGCATTTTCTAATCTGATCTCCATATTTCCGATGTTGAATCTAGTCTCACCCCTTGTTCACTGTGCCTATCTAAACCTCTAATCTACCAGGGGTCTCAGTTTGACATACTAAATCAAATCTGAACCAAGACTCTAATGATACCACAAACAAGCCAAAAACAGCAAGAAACTATTACAGGTTCCTGCTGGTAGCCAGTTCCTAACAAAGCAGGTGTTACCTTCAGATGGAAGGTCAAAATTATGTCAGAATGCACAGCTAGGTTGTTGCTCAAGAACTGACAGTCTGCTCTTCAGGTAAAATAACTGAAACTCTCATTAAAACCAAACCAAACCCATTGCCATCGAGTCGATTCTGACTCACAGCAACCCTACAGGACAGAGTTGAACTGCCCCATGGGGTTTCCAAGGAGCAGCTGCTGGATTTGAACTGCCGACCTTTTGGTTAGCAGCCAAGCTCTTAACCACTGGGCCACCAGGGCTCCATATTAACAGTCTAGTAATATAAACCAGCATTGCATTTTCCCATTCATCCCTTTCAGTCCAATTGGATGAACTTTTCAAAACTGACAAATGAAATATGGTCAACCAAGCAGTAGTGTTACTAAGACAGGAATATGACTTGTCAAGATAAACCACTTCTACCCACGTGAAAACTCCACTGTCTTAAAAGCAGTATGATACCTTATCAAAAACATTTCGGTATATGATGTAATATTCATCAGCAGGTCCTTCCTCATTACAGCCCACTCTTTTGGTCTCTGTAATTATGTATCTTTGCATACTTTCCAAAAATTCCTTGTCACTTTTACTAATGATAGGTGGGAGAACCGCATTTTTATTTATTTCTTGGGTTGACATATGTCACAATCTGCACTTGTTCACCACAGGAAAGTTAAATCTTGACCTGTTTTTGCAACAAAGCCAATACTTTCATAGGCCTGAAAGAAAAAAAAAAAGACCACCAATTAATCTAAAGCTTTAACAAGACTACGTCAAATATTGATCTAAGCATATGCATATTTGTTTCAGGAAAAAAAAAACTCCCTGTGGATCTCTCTGAAATATCAATCTTTGCACAGGTTAGGATAAGGTGTCCCTTTCTCTGAGCAGGCTTGGCAACAGAAGTAACAGGTTGGGTTGTGGCCCCCCTGGCTCCAGTGCTGGAGTGACAGCCT